TTGCTATTCAAGTTAGATTTCTACAGTCAACATGGGAGGATTATGAGGATAAGCAGGATAGATAACGATTGATCCTTGACTCAAAAAGCTCAAGATTGGAGTGTTGTGGTATGCCACAAAGTGACAATACTTGGGGGGAAAAAAGCTGTCTGATTGAAACACCCCTTCATACATTTTGGAAGTTGGAAGAAATAATTGTTTAATCTCGGTGGAGTCAGCATGGCTTTCCGTAGCTGTAAAAGTTCTGAACATGCAGTATTTTAAAAATTGAATTCATCTGAATATTAGCGATTTTAAATCAGTATCAACATATTCAAGGCAGTAAAATCACTAAGACGTAAGATGTTACATGGGAACAGAAACATTAATAATGAGCGAAAAGAAAAAAAAAGAGTAACCAGTAGAACATTGACATAGCGACTGACATTGCATTTAAATGTTTGCAGTTTAAATTTGGCTGGAAGGAAGTTTCACAAGCGAGAAGTGCAAGAAAAGAAACTGTTAGCCTAGAACTTACGGTTAAATCTAACCAACTCAACTGTAAATTGATGAGATCTTGACGCCAGTCTAGTACTGCACTTAAATTCAAAACGCCTAGACACAATAGCGAATAGCGATATTTATTTGTAATTATTTACAAAATGTGACAGAAGGCCAAAATGGGAAATAAGGAAAAGGACGGTCTTGTTCTGTCTTAACTTTAAACTTTGCTAGCCACAGACACTGACCCAAACATACCATAATATTCCTAACACCAAAACAACGCATTCTTAACTTTCTTACTACACCCACCATAATACCTCGTCTCTATGAAAGTCCTAACTAGTCCCTCTATGTACAATTCATTGTCGGGATTGAAGGTGAATAAAACAACAATAAAAAAAACTAGTCCCAATGAGTATTTAGAATATATAATAAGGTACAATAACAAAGAGCTCATCCGAACAATTACCATGAAAGTATTTATAGAATAAAGCAAAGAGGCAACCAAGCCGCCTAATCGGTACCAATAATATCGCTGATTCTTGTTTGGATTTTATCAAGGTGCTTAAGGTAAATAGCAAGGGGCACAGTACCATATGTGACAGCAATATTCTAAGTATGGACGACTGGTAGACTTATAGATAAGATTCCGGGGATAAAGTTTGTCTCGTCCAGCACAGTGAACCGTCTTTCTTAACATCTGATTTAAATAACGATAGAAAAGCGAAAGATAAATTGAGTTGTGTAGTGGAACTGTACATAATTACTACTACTACTGTACTGATGCGGCATTCACCCTGGGCGGATTGAGCCGGCTTCTTCCTGTTATGAGAAGAAGATTCTTGGGATAAATTACAGAAGTAGGGTACCCAGGCCTACTCGGATAACGTTCTTGCTTGCCGCGGGGTTCCCACAGACGCAGAGACAGGAACGACCAGAAGCCGCCGGTTACCGATGCAGACGCTCCTTGGATTTTCACCAGAGCCCTTGTTAGCCGGCGTGTGTGTCAGACCTGTCCGCCTTGGGTGGCCCTACCAGGAACTGTACATAATTACATAATTACTTGTTTATGTATCTTTTTTTCAGTTTTGTGACGTGGAGCATATCTTTCTGCCTTAAGATTCTGTATTCGTATTTTTGGACTTTACTTAGGCTCGAACACCGACCGCCGGCGCCAGTGGAGAACATGTAAATATTTTGGGCATGAAACACACTCAAATAGATATATTATAGATTACCGTTAGTCTTTTGTTATCTACTTTTATGTCAGTTCTGGTTAAGTCATTCCCTTTCTGTGCTTCTCTAAATCAATATATAATTCTCTGACGAAACACATCCAGAATAAACAATCAAAAGCCTCAGTATTTTGCCTTCTCTCTGACTTTTCATTTATCTCTGCTTCCCTTTCTCTCTCTCTCTCTCTCATATATATATACCTCTCTACTTACGTTTCTGTTAACCTACCTCCTTACCTTACGGCAGAGATTAATATCCCTTTCCAGGGCCAACGTCCGTTTTCCAGGGTCCGTTGTCTTTTATTACATCACTTCATCTCTTTTCGTTTCTAGCCGTCTCACTCGATGTGTAATGCCATCCTGCGTTCTATTACCGTTAAATTACGAGCGTCATGGCTGATTTTTGTGCGCAGTCTTTTCTAGCGAGGAAAGACTGTCATCTCCGGAACTTCCCCACGCCGCGGCACGACCCCACCAACGAATGTGACGCAGATCAAGCGTGGCAGTTTTCGTCAGATTACGAAAACACAGGCTTGTAGAAGTCGAAGGCAGAAATCGATGGCCAAGCTCTCCAATGTCCGAGCGGGCGTTTTGCTTAAGTGCTGTCCAAAAAGTGAGCGACGGCTCTACCAACCTTCTTCCCGGTCTAACCCGACCGCGTGTCCACCACAGCTTCCGTTTTGCCTCGCACAGCCATGACCCGTTGGCAAAAAACCTTGTCGGTCTGAAAATCATTAAAGTGACGTTGACAGTGGCCAGCCAAGCAGACAACTCATTCGTAAACACACGCACACATACATACATACATATATATATATATATATATATATATATATATATATATATATATATAACGCTCCCACAAATACAAAACGATTGTAATGAACGCATACATGCGCATAAAGACGGGAAACGGGCGCAAATAACTATATTTACCAGAAATAAATACTGACACTCTAAAAGACATAACTACATTCAAGGAGGCATGGCGCGAATAAAAAAAAAACACTTTCCTATATTTCATGGCTGTCTTTTTACCTCAGACCAATAACTATTTATAATAACTGGCATTAGCTTCTACAAAAATAATAACGCTATATAAATATACTTTTTATTTTCCTACTTCTATCAGCCATGTCCCTTTAGGACGTGGGCGATTATGGCTCTCCACAACGTCCTGTTCTTTGTACCTCTTAGTATTTTTTGCTGACACTCCTAAACCTTATTTTGCCATCCATATACACAAGCTCATTACGTAAGTTATGCACTTTTTTCCTCTGTATCTCTTGCCTTTAGTATATCCTGTGAGTGTCAAATTTTCCAAGCCCCCTTTCCTCGATATGTGCCGTAGAAATGTTAACTGTATCTTTCTGATTTTAAGTATAAGTATCCTTTTTGTTTTCATTTTCTGTAAAACTTCGCTCAGATGTTCATACCATGGTATTCTCAGCATCCTTCTGTAGAACCATATTTCTAAGTTTTTATTCTGCGAGGAAATAGTTAAGTAAATAAAAGGATTCTTGTAAGATTTAAAAAAGGAGATTTTGATCTTAAGCCCAATCAATGCTGTCAAATTCCTTAAAACTTAAAAATTCATGATTTGATCGAATTTGGAGGGAAGATACACTATAACAAACAAGCAAACTTGGACTAAAATTAAACTTATTTTTCATTCTTCATTGTTTCTTTTTAATATATTTTTAAGTTAAGCATTGCTAACTTATGTTATGGGATCTTACCATTAATAATAATAATGGACTATTCCATAATTAATAAATACTGCGCCTCAGTCAGTAGTTCAAGTAGAGTCAGTAGTTCAAGTCGAGTCAAGAGTCCGAAACAGAGTCGCGTTCAGACAATTACTGCAAGTCATTGGAATAGTGATACTGGTCGAGACTACATTGTTCTCTCTACTAAACCTGATTGTTCATACTAACACTTCTACTTCTCTGTATATATTCCTGTTTGTAATATATCTATGTTATTCCATACCTGTGTTCGAGTTCTTCTTTATTGGTTCTAACGTTGGACTATCACCGTGGTACAAGGAATCGGACCATATCAGTTTATTTCTTATTAAACGTGGAAATAAAACTTTCCTATATGTGGTCATTTAAAATTCTGAAAACTTAATCCATCATTCGCTGGAGATATCGATCATTCAAAGTAACATGATATCAATAGGAAACGGTGCGGTGTGCCTCATAAGTGCAGCGGAAGAGGATATCAGGTAAGGCAGAATGATTGCAAGACAATCAACGATTTAAAAAAAAAAGCATTTCAAAAAATTCATATGCCAAAAATTTATATGATTCCAAAATTTAAAATATTACTTGTAATTACATGCGTGAGTCCTGGTATAATTATCTGATAGTTTTGCATTATATCAAGTTTTAAGAATATAGTAATTAAGGACAGCAAATTGGATGAGAGAGATAATGTTTTGATTTAGATTCCGCGTTTATCTCCCGTGTATGCTCGGTCCATAAAATCCTTAGCATCCTTCTGTAGAACCACATCTCCGTCGACTCGAATCCCTTCTTCATCTGTGAGGAAATCGTCCAACATTCGCTCCCGTATACGCTAACATTTCTGTGAAAATACTAAGGTATATTAATGTAAACCAAATGTATTCTTAACTACTATTTATTAATAACTAGCAGTAGAGCCCGGCGTTGCCCGGGGATGTAATAGTAAGAGATAGATCAAGTATCGACCGTCATGAAGACTGAAAAATAAAATTGACAAAGATTATTGTTTCAAACCCAAACTCAAAAACATTGTTTTCAATCGTTATGAGTCTATCGATTGAATAGAATTTTATTGTAAACAATTGTCTTTTAAATGGAATTTTTAAAGCATTCTGAATGTAAAAATAAAGAAAAAAGTGTGCAAGACGTATAAGAAACACTACCTGCGAAAAAAAAGTGAAGTTTTGTTGAAATCGGTTGAAAAATGTTGGAAATCCGATCCCATATATAAACGAACACACACACACACACAAGCAACCTGGGTTTTATAATAAGTATAACTCGATATGAGTTGCCCCCCTTTCATTCTTGCGACAGAATCGTGTTTTATCGTGTTTTCAAATTGATTTCGTGCAAAAACAATTGTGTTTTTCCAATTTTTGGCGCTGTCAGAACCACGGCAAGGTAATTTTACGCACTACTGTGAAGTTTTGTTGAAATCCGTTGAAAAATGTAGGAAATCCGATTCAATATACACACACACACACAATCTGCGTTTTATAATAAGTAAGATTATGGCTTACAACCATCTCACATTGAAACACCGGTTCCCGTACGATCACCGAATTTAAGCAATGTCATGCCTAATAAGTACCTAGATGGGTAACGCCTTTGGATTACCAGTTGCTGATTTTTGGATGTGCGGGTGGTGTAATGGATAACAACTCGGAAATTTTATTCGGAGAGCCAAGTTCCAATTCTTGTTCGGTTATATTCACTTACGCGCAAATACCCTTGGGAAAGTTACGAATCCACCTCTTATACCCCCAGCTATGGTTTAATTACTAATATTTGTGTTGCTAAATCATTATTATCTCTCCAAATAATTCTTACAATCTAGAAAATATTTTCTGGCTTTAAATAACCTACAATGGGTTGATAAGATGTAAAATCAAATCAATCAATCAATATTACTAGTCACGATGATATATCGGTCATTACATTTGGTTCCTCGAAACGGAAATTTCTTATGACTCGATCTCATAAGTTTTGAACCAAATCGTGTCCAACTTTCTGGACAATTCATGCCAGTTTTGTCTTCAGCTTTTAATCATAAAATTTCTTGACGAGAACCGACTGAGAAAACAAACAACTGCTACTCAAATATCGAAGCTAATCCCAACTGAAATAACTTCATAAATAAGAAATCGATTCAATTTGTCAGTCACAGTTGATATAAGATTACAAGGCATTGTCTGAATGATGCACGCATGCGCAACACACGCATATGCGGACACATCTAATTTTGCTTTCACTTCTATATTATATACGAGGAGGTGCTGAAAAGTTTTCGGTTCAAGCAAGAAAGGACTCTCCCCACCATACACACACCACATTCTGATTTAACATATATAACATCAACATATATAAATGCGTGGATCAGTAATTCTGTAGCCTAACAGAGGTATTCTTATTGAAATATTCATTGTGTAAAATGGGAAAACGATATATGAATTTTTATGTATCAGATCAATTTTAGCAAAATCTATGACAAAGTGGAAAAAAATGATCGTCTTTTGGTGGAGCAATCGATAGCGGCTCGGATTGAGAAATCGGAGAGACGAGTTCGAATTCCAGTCGAATCTATTACATTCACTTACGTGCTAATACCCTTGGGAAAGGTATGAATCTTCTTCTTCTCCCCCGCCTCCAGCTATGGATAAATAGCAGGTTCTACAGCAACTGGTCTACCGCAGAAAGAAATGGCAGCCTACTGTGGGAAAAAAATCTACCTCGTCAGTCATGTACTGAAAGATACATGATCGCCTAAGCGTGTATCATGCATGACACATAAATGACTGACTTATTACACATACGCATGAAGGAGAGGGGACACTGAATTTTTTTTTATGTTTTTAAATAAAAACTATGCTCAAACTCATTGAGGTGAGCAACTAACGCACTGAATGTGTTGCTTTGCAAAAAAATCGCTATTATGTTCATATAATATTTTGTTTATATTCATGAGGTTTTTCCTATAACTTATGGCAATTAACATGCTATGTAATGGTATTTATATAACAGTTTTAAAAGTATTTATATAACTTCGTTTATACTTCACGTAAATACTGATTCGTTTCATTTTAAAGGAATACATTTAACACATTATATAAAGTTGTTATATCAATTACCAATCCTTAAAACTTGTAATTGTGATACTTTACCTAGACTTCTAGGAATATTAATAACAATTGTTGTAACCACAGGAAGAATAATCAATAACAGAATAATCACACGAAGGTTGTTAAGGAACAATAATACTTAAGACAAGAACAACGAATATAAGATTCGCCAGCGACGCGGAGAAGAAATAGTCAGCTGCTAGAAGTGAGTCAAGTGAATTTCACAATGAATCTGCAGCTGCAGGATATCTACCAACCGCCCCATGGATCAGATATGGCACAAGGCTGAATTTAATGTGGGGTATCGGAGCCCGAAGGCTCGGCCAAAAATTCCCCGTAGACCTCGTATAAAACGAGGTCGGGTAGCTGTTTCCCGAGACGAGACTGCCCTTCGACATAGCCTCGTCTGGGGACCAACATACAGTATTTACTACTCTATTTATGTGAATGGTGACATATCCGTTATCATCCGTATGTATGCTACAACAACAACAATAATAATAATAATTATTATTATTATTAAATAGAAATGATTGTCATGACCCTTCCAATATTTTCAACAATTCAAAAAGAGCGCAATTTAAAAAAATAAAAATTAATGAAATGAAATAGAGTTTCAAACTGATTGCGTAAGTTCTTATATATGTATCCCCCAAGTTGCTTTGGCTGCCTCATCATTCAAACTTACAAAAAAAAAGTAAGCTTCATGACACCCGACCAAGATTCTGGCGCACTACACCCGCTCATGAACAGAGATACATAGTACCCTAGTTTCTAGGTGATATATCTAAATTTGTAAGGTTAAGCAACTGATAAAGGCATCTGTGGTACTGGACGGGATATTTACTGCAGCCCATCTCAGGACTGAAGAATCAAATAATAATTATTATTATTGTTATTGACATTATTTTTAAGAAATTATTTTTTTCTGCATTTGTTTTATAATTACATGTCAGGTAATTTTCAAATCTTCTTCTTCTTCTTCTTCTTCTTCTTCTTCTTCTTCTTCTTCTTTTCTATGCAATGTCCCACAGGACATAGCCGACCAAGGCTCTCCACAACTTCCTACCCTCTGTAGCTCTTTGTATATTTTGCCGTTTTGTTACTCCTCCTAATCTCTGTCTTTTCTATAAATATATATAAATATATTTTTATATTAAGCGCAGTATTAGACTGGTGTCGAAATCTCATTAATTTACAGTTGACATGGCTAGATATAACCGTAGATTCTATGCTACCAATTTCTTTTCTCACACTTCCCGCTTGTGGAACTCCTCTCCTGTTCCATGCTTTTCAGCCAACTTTTATTTGCAAAAATGTAAATGCAATGTCAATCGCTATCCTCAGTCCTCCTGATTACACTTTTCTCTTCTCGGTCATTAGTAATATTCTTGTTCCTAATCCTTCTACATTGCTTGTGTCTTAGGGATTTTACTGTTTTGCCTGGGGTGAAATCGATTATACACAAACGCACACACACACACGCACACACACGCGCGCACACGCGCGCACACGCGCGCACACACACACACACGCGCACACACACACATATATATATACACACACACATATATATATACACACACACAAACATATGTATGTGTGTGTGTGTATAAGTTGTTGTTTTTTCTTTTAGTTTGATATGTTTCGTTTATTATTATTTCTAATTATTTTTAAATATATTTTCCCGCATATTTTGTTGTTGTAGTTTTCTGGGCCGTAATTGTAATCTTTTTTGTTAAATTTTGTTTCCCAGTTTTAGAATGTTAGGGTAACTTCTACGACCAGCCCGGATGGCACCAATGCTAAGTACACCGCTGAAGGGAAGACATTTTAAATTACACAAGAGTTCAACCTCTAATGACTTTTCATTATTCGCCCACCAGTCTTTAATGAAAACACAAACTAAGCGTGAACGTTAATAGAAAGATTTTTTTTTTTTTGGTCGCACCCTTAGGCAACTCTTTGCATTTTTATTCTATAAATTCTTTTTTTTTTTCAAAATATATAATTTCAGAATGCAAGAAAAATGTATATAATGTCTTGCCAATAAATCAAAATATTAAAAAAGAAAATGTCATCTAATAAGCGAACAGAATTTGTTTAAAATGTTGTTTATGCACATGCGCAAACAATTTTTTCAGCCAGTTTCCAGCTCCAAATTCTGTTGCTGGTAAATTGCAAGTCCGTCAATGTACGTTTTGTATTATCATAATCGCTTATCTGACTTACTACACACCCAACAATAGAATGCGGGAAAACCTTATTAATTACAATTCCATCTCACGCCAGTATAAAGCAGGTGTGAATTAAATATTAAAACTACTGATACAGTAATTCGTATCGAATTACTCCCAAGGGCTGGCGTCTTTCGATGGGGAAATCCACTGGACAATGAATTGCATGAAGCGATCGTGTGTCGTTTTCGACGGACATCTTCTGGAATGCTGGTCAAACTATTCAGCGGAGAGTAGCGGTTTGTGCAGATTCCGACTGGATAACTCCCCAATTCTCAGATTACAGGCATTGCAATGGCATTATAAGAGGAATATTATTAAATGTGACGGCAGTCTGAATTGCATTGGTCAAGGTCCTGTCAATGGACCGGGGAAAATTCGATAAATTCCTGTATACAAAAACACATACTACCTTATTACACAATGGACACAATGCACAAAGAAATCATATACAGAGTATATGCACAAATATACGTTCATTATATATATATGTACACGCACGTATGATAGCAAAAACGATAAAAACAGTACAGCGGTTCCTTCGTAACAGCGGGTTCGTTTTCGGCGGTTTTATTTACCCGCGGTCAACAATAAACAGTTCAAAAGTTTGCTTAATAAATTGTCCCAAAATAAAAGGAAATTGAGGCTTGTTATTCAGAAACGTGATAAGAAAAGCCATAAAGTAATTCGTTGAAGGGAAAAGTTGAATGTTCTTGAGTTAATAAGGAAAGAAAAAACATAAATGCCCTAGTTGCTAAGATCTATGTTAAAAACAAATCTTCTGTCATCCAAATAAATTTACTACTGTATAATATTTTAACTGTTCTATTTTATTATTAACTATTAGTGAAAATTTCACGGCTTTCATTTTTCATTTTGTTTTCTTTCTTTGTTTCTTTTGGGGTTTGTCTCTGATATGTTTTTCTGTCTTTCCTCGGGGTCAAAACGGAACAGTTCAGGGCATAAACTTAAGTACCTGTTAACTAAGGAGGCAAAGAATTGGATCAGCAGAATAATAAAAATACTGTTGTTAATCTCTTATTGAGCTTAAGATAAATAACAAAAATAAAAACTTTATCATAAAGGAACAACATCGTGTATATATATATATATATATATATATATATATATATATATATTCAAAAACAAGAGAGAAACCGCAAACGTTTTTGGTTGTAATGATGATTTCTTTTTAAAAAGACATTTGGGTCACTAACACCCATAAAAGAATGTCTCATATCAAGAATATTTAACATCAAAAACCATATGA